GTCAGGGGGAGAGGGATCGCCCCAGAGAACAGGGGTAGGATGGGATTAGGCACCCAAGGAACCCCCCCAGCCCACCCAGCTGCTGTCACCCACCGTCATCCAGTGTCCTCTCGAGGACAGGAGGCCGGCTGGGGACACCATCGCCCATCCTGGTGAAGGCCAGCACCCGGATCTCGTACAGGGTGTACTTGTCCAGCCCGGCCAGCTGGGCACTGCGGGAGGCATTGCCCTCGGCCAGCCAGAACCGGGCACGAACCTCCGAGCCCTTCTCCTTGTACAGCACCTGCAACACGGCCCGTGTGGCACAGCCGGGCCAGGCTGGCACTGGGGGGCACCAGCTGCTGGGGCAGCACAGCCGGGGGCAGGGGAAAGCTGGCCCACGGCCAGGAGCTCACCTTGTAGCCCAGGATGAGCCCATTGCAGTCAGCCTCAGGAATGTCGCTCCATCGGACCGTCAGGCTGCTGGAGGAGGTGGCCACTGCCAACACATTGCTGGGGCCGGAGGAGGGGACTGCAGGAGGGGACAGAGAGGGTCAGTGGCCGGATTGGCCCAGGTGGGTGCCCACTCCCCGGCAGGCAGCGGTACCTGACTCCCGGGTGCGTCCCAGCACCGAGGGGCTCCAGGGCCCGGAGCCGATGGCGTTGAAGGCCTGGACCTGCACCCGGTACTCCGTCCACTCCTCCAGGTCCTCGATGGTGAATTCCCGCTCCACGCGGTCGCGGATGACGTGGAGCGCCGGCTGCCCCCGCCCGTCTGCCCGCGCGTAGCGGATCCTGTATCCCACCGAGTCGGGGTTCCCGTTGTACTCCTGCTCCAGGAGGGGCTGAGGGACAGGCACTGTCACTCCTGATGTCCCACAGCCCCCCCAGCTCCATCCCCCTTCAGCTCATGCAGGCGCAGACCCTCCCCGACACGCGGCCGTCCCTCACCATCCAGCGCAGCCACAGGCTGGTCTCGCTGGCCGTCCTCAGGGTGACGTTGGCAGGGGCCATGTCCGGGGGGGCTTGGAGGGTCTGGATCCTCCGGGAGGGCAGGCTGGGGGGGCTGGTGCCCACAATGTTCACCTGCCGCATGCGGAAACTGAGAGAGGAGAGGGGAGGTCAGGGTGGGGGACAAGAGGGCTCCGGTCCCCCAGGGATGGCACCGTGGCGCCGCCCTGGCACTCGCCTGTAGTAGGTGTATGGCTTCAGGTTGGGCACCTCCATGGAGCGGGTGTCGGGCTCGTTGGCCAGCTGGTGCACGAGCCCCCACGCCCCAGCCTCGCCGTTCTGGCCCACCTGCGGGATGGCAGTGGGGTGAGTGGGGTCAGCTGCCCCCAAACACCCCCTGACCCCCGTTCCAGAGCCCCCCTGTACCTGTGCCTCCACCTGCCAGCGGGAGATGGAGGTTTTGCCATCGTAACCCGGGCGAAACTGGATGGTGACAGAGCGGGGGCCGATGTTGGAGATGCCCAGGTTGGTGGGGGCACCGGGGAGCTCTGTGGGGACAGGGCAGGGTGGGTGGCACCGGCCGCTTGCCCCCAGCACCACACACAGCACCCCAAAACCACCACCGTGCTCACCTGGGGGGACCCCTGAGGAGATGGTGGAGGAGGAGACCTGTCCCTGTCCCTTGGAGGTCATGGCGGCCACCTCGATGGTGTAGGTGGTGAGGGCAGTGAGGCCGGTGACGCGGTACTCCAGGGTGACGTTGGGCAGGTAATGCGTCACCCGCGTGTTGGTGCGGTTGTACTCCTCCCACGAGATCCGGTAGCCTGGAATGCACCCCCGTGTCACCTCAGTGTCACCTCTGTGTCACCCTTGTGTCACCCCCGTGTCACCCACCCCAGCGGCTGTGCAAGGACAGGGGTGGGACAGGACAGGCCGGAGATGCTGCGGGGTGGGACAATAGGGATATGCTGTAGGGGAGGACAAGGACACAAGAGTGATGCCGTGGGGTGGCAATGGGACACGGGGGAGATGCTGCACAGTGGGAATGGGACAGGAAAAGGGGGAGATGCTGTGGGAAAGGCACCGATGGCGGAGCCGCTGCTGGTGCTGCCTCACCTGTCAGGATCCCGTTCTTCTCCAGAGGCTCCTGCCAGCTGACCTTCAGGGATGTATCCAGGATGTCACTGAAGCTGAGGTGTCCCACAGGGCCAGGCACTGCCCAAAAGACACCCAGACTCAGCCCCCAAGCGCAGGAGCCCTCGGCACCCACAGGACCCCCGCGAGGAGCGAGCGGGGAGGGGGCTCCCCTTGGACGGGGCATCCCGGGGCTCGGCAGCTGGACGGAAGCGGGGGGACGGGCAGGGTCCATCCCGCGGGAGTCGGAGCCTCCCCGTACCGTCCTCGTGGGTGCGCACCAGCTGCGGGGGGCTGCGCGGGCCGTCCCCGGGCGTGGTGAAGCACAGCACCGAGGTGAAGTACTCGGTGAATTTGCGCAGCCCCGCCACGAAGCCCACATGGACGCTGGCCTGGAAGTTGGGCCGCACCGTCACCACCGTGGCCTCGTCCTCGTGCTCCGGCTCCCAGGCGATGAGCTGCGGGAGAAGGGAACCGCCATGGAGATTCCCAATGTCCGTGACCATCTCCGGCCTCCTCTTATTAATTCGGCGCTGATTAACGATCAATTAATGGCACTGTTTACAGAGCTGTGATTAACTCCGTCGATAACGGCATGGGATCCCCTCTTGCCCGCATCCAGGAGGGATGGCCGGGCATTTAATTGGTATTGTGCAAGATAGCCTCTAGCAACTTAATTAAACACTAATTAGGCCCTAAAAATACTAATCAAAAATACTAAGTGGCATTTAATAAGAATGTTAAATATCCTACTCACGCTGGTTATCTCATCCAGCGGCAATTAAATTCCCGAACTTCTTTCGAGTGGATTAAGACACAAGTTTAATGTTTTAATTCAATTTCATTAATGTGAATTTGAATTAATTGCAATTTGGAATTAATTACAGAGCATGGGAGACTCCGAGCCCATGCAAGTGTTAAATAACAGTAAATATTATTTTAACAGTCAGGAGAGATCCAATTAAAATCTGGGATTTCGGCAAGGAGGAGCCAAGACAATCTGTGGAGGTTGACCAAGTTTTCCCCACAGGCTGGTCTGTTTTTGGGAATCACCCTCACCTTGTAGCCCTGGTTGATGCCATTGATGAACTGGGGGCTGGGGGGGTTCCAGGTGAAGCGGATGGTGGTGGAGTTGGTGGCCTCAGCCTGCACATTCCCTGGAGGCACCGTGGGCACTGCCAGGATGAAGGGACAGCTCACAGCGACAGCTCCACAAGGTCCCCTCCACCAGCTGGGTGCCCACCCCGGCTAATCCTCTTCCAGCACATCCCAGTCCCCCTGGGACCTCCACACCCATCCTCCTGCCTCCCATGTTGGGGTGCCCACCTGCCCTGCCCACCCCGATCGTCCCTGCCTACCTCCCTGCAGGGTCCACTCTGTCACCTTCATGCTGTAGACCCCCAGGCCGGCGCTGTTGTAGGCGGCCACCTCGATCTCGTAGTTGGTCCAGATGATGAGATCCTCCAGGAGGAGGTTGTTGACCTCGGCGTTGGTGATGTTCTTGAACTGGTACCCCACGGGCAGCCCGGCCAGGCAGTACCTGGGGACCGGCAGCTGTCAGAGCTGCCACTGTCCCCACCAACACCAGCCTGGGGACCCTTGGGCTGGCACCCACCGGATGATGTAGCCCTTGAGGACCCCGTTCTGGTGGCTCTCGGGGGGCGGCTGCCACTGGATCATGATGGACTGGTTGGTGCGGCCGCTGGCGATGACGTTCTGGGGGGGCGCAGAGGGCGGCTCCTCGGGCAGGGACACCCTGCAGGGGTGGGGCAGGGTGAGCACCCAGGGTCACCAGCCCACCCAGGACCCCCGGCCGGGACTCACCTCTCCGTGTCCTTGCTGAACTGTCCCCTGCCCACGTCGTTTACGGCACACAGGCGGAACTGGTAGGAGCGAGCGGGGACCAAGCCCCGCACTGTCACAGATGTCACCTCGGGGTCCACGCTGGCCAGCAGCACGGTCCAGGGTGCATCTGGGGAGGAGAGGACAGCAGGGTGGGGACCTGACCTGCAGGACACTGGGGTCCCCTGCCCAGCTGAAGAGTCCCGGGGTCCCCAAGCTCCCTGAGGTGACCAGGGTGACTCTGGGGACATCTCCCAGTGCCCGGGGGGGTGGGAGCAGCCCCTTACTGTTCTCGGAGACCTCCACGACGTAACGGAGCAGGGGGCTGTTGCCGTCGAAGGGCTTGGCCCAGGTCAGGTTGATGGCCCGTTTCTCCTGCGGGCTCAGGGCGGCCACGGGGCTCTCGGGGGCGTGGGGGAGCTGCCTGGACAGGGGGGTTAGGGAGGGAAGGAGGGA